AAACTTTTTTGAATTATAAAATGTATAAAAGTGCCTTCTTGGTTCCGTTTCGTTTTAAAGCGGCAAAACATCTTTGAAAAAAAATGTACTGTAACAATTTTACATGCCAAAGCTTCATTGCCTATTCCATTGAATGATACCTAAGTCAGACAATTCCATAGCAATTAAACAGTTAAATCTCAAAATTCAATACATTTAAAGGTTCTAATTGATTCAAAAAACTTAGTTCCCTGTAGTTCACATTTTTTTAACGTTATTAACGGATTTTGAAAGATTTTGGCGCCTTTTCTTTTTATTCTGTACAAGTTTCAGGAGTATGCGCAATTGCCAATTGCGTAAACTTCCGCTTGAAATCCATTGTAGTAGTACTAAATCTATTTGGAAATCAATCCTATATGCCACATAATCCTTCTGAACCATTAACTATACATATAATTAAATGGTAGGAAAGTCAAAACTATACATTGAATATTTTTTTAAAAGAATACTTGGGGTGTGATTTGCAATCGATACCGGAGCCAAAAAAATAGTTTTTAAGAAAGAAATAATTTATTGACCAACAAACAAAGCATAAATAAAACAAAAAAAACAGAATAAGGTCAACTAGGTCCCTGCCTCAGCACAATGCCACAACGACGCTAAGGCCGCTGCGGCGCTGATATTCTGGCTCTTTTTAGAATTTTTGTCTGTTTGTCTGTATGTATGTCCGGGATAAACTCAAAAAGTACTGCATGGATTTACTTCAAATTTGGCACGAATATTATTAAGAAGTCGGGTCAACATATAGGCTACAAATTATCACGCTATCACCTACGGGGAACGAACAGTGAACCATTATTTCTAACTAACTCCACGCGTACGAAGTCGCGGGCGGCCGCTAGTTGATAATATAATAAAAGTTAGGAAACTCTACAATGTAAGTACTATTGAACCAATTTATTCCTGACCCGATTATTCGGAAAATCGCTTAAAAATGACAAAACAGAAAAGTTTTCTTATAAATAGAATGCTTGATAGCACTTACGAACTTTCATTTTAATGTTTCAAAGATCTTTGAAATTTAACTTTTGTTTTCAACGCAACAGAACATGGTGGATCAGGAATCAAATTGTTCGATATTATTATATTATTATTATTATATTATATTAACTATTGTTAATAAGAAATCATTGCATACTCCGCTGAATAAAAAACTTGACATGCTCAAAATGACCTATTCTAGAACAATAAAAAAGGATTGCCGTTCGATAAATTAAATAAATTACTTACAGAAAAAAATGGTGTGGTTTTATGAAAGAAACCACGATGCAAGTGAAACCTTCCTCGACTGTGAATCAAAAGCGGGCCATAGCAGGCAAGGTTTCTTACCACCAATAATTGTTGAAAGATGTGTGATTTAAAATAAACAATTTAATATGTAATAATCGGTAAAATATCCTATGTTCAATATTTAATATACTTTCCCTCTGTGTGACAAACCCGTGGGAAGCCCTGTATATATGAAAGATGCGTGTGCTGCTCCATTCCCCTATGCCTTATGCACCGTCTAATGTTAGGTTATTTAAGAAAATAAGTTTCACTTCACATGTGTGGTCCATTAAGATACTTAAGATGAACGAAAATATTTAGGTCGATCTTATTAAAATTTTCACTTTAAAAATAATAAAATAAAAATTGTGTGCACGGACCACACATGTGAAGTTAAACTACCGAAAGAAGGCATCATTTTATTTTTAAATAATAACAAGAACTGCACAGATTTTTAAAAAATCGCCTGCTACAACTGGGAATCAAACTCGTGAAAATTGCAAAATAATACATGACGTATTATTTTACGATAACCGTCGAAAGGTATAAGGCATTTTAGATGAAAGGAAGATCATGTAATTACAATTTGGTCAGGAAAATTTTCTATTACTTTTCCGTGCTTCAAACAGCTAATGTTATTATTTTTAAGTATTTATTAACCTGCTCACTTAATAATACAGAATTTCCTTATTATAAGTACGTGAAAAATAAAAAAAGCGTTATTTATACAAACCTAGCACCGTTTCTTTTTATATTGTAGTTTGTGTTCAATTATTAAAAATAAGTTATTTTTCTTTCATTTAAAATTCTATGTTATTTAGGAAATAATAAGCCTCATGATTTATCCTTTCGACGTTTATCATAAAATACATGTGCTTTTTTTATTTCACATTTCACGAGTTTGATTTTCTGGTGTTGGCAGGCATTTTTTTAAAAACTGTGAATGCAATTCTACTTATTGTTAAAAATAAAATGATGTCTTCTTTCAGTGAAATATCCTTACTTCAATATTTAATATACTTTCGCTCCGTGTGATAAACCTGCGGGACACCCTGTTTCATGCTCGTCGGCAAGAGCTGCGCACGCATCCCACACACAATGTATACAGGGTGGCCGGGGAGTTTTTTTTTTATTCGTTGACGAGAGTTGACGTACAAGCGTAAAATTTAGATACTTTATGATGAGAGGTAACCAAATCACCCCCATGTATATTCTACGATTTGCGTAATTTTCGAGTTATAATTTTTTTTCATAATTTTCACCTAACATCAGTTGTCGACGCTTGTGTCTCCATCAATTTGCACAAGAAGGAAAACGAAACGTAAAGGGTGAAAGAAGCCGCGAAGAAGACCCGCGCATTTGAATTTTATACGGCGCACAATACGCATACAATTATTCTATTTTATTCAACTCATTGTAATTTATACGCAATTAAACGTTTATCAAGTATACGAGTTCATCATTAGATAGGAGACCACTGTCCCAAACATCAGTTTTCGATTTTTTTCTTATTCTGTTGGACGTTTCTGGTTCAGTTTTTTTGTGATAACTGACTAACATAGTCTAACCTGGCACCCTAAAACTTATGGTTTATCTAGGCATTATAGGTATATTCGCGTAAAGCTCGTGACGCATTTTCATCTTTTTCATCTGATTTTTCCATTTACATCGCGTCCAAAGAGAAGTATTACTTCATAAAGTAAGCTTGAATCTTATCAATTTGATTACAAAAGTTAGTTGATTTTCCAGATTGATATTGCATCGTATTTAATGACAGTTATTTTTCCCATTTCTCAATGGCTGACGGATATATCTCCACTGATGATTTAATGATAATACACCGAGTCCGCAGATGATTTACTTATTATATATGTCGTCAAAAGTAGCTCAGTGCAACTGCTGTTGCGTATATATAAAATTAGTTATGTTTTATGTAACACATAATTATGTAACATTATAAATAAAAGAACACGATATTATTGTTTTCTAAAAGTCGTTAACGCAGTTAATTGTGCGTATAAATAAATCATGATAATTTTCTGCAAGTTTGTCCAATTAAAATATTTATTTGCGTAAGCAATGGTTTAGTCCGTGGTTTAGTTAGCGAGTTGTTCAATTCCAATGTGTTGATAGACTTTTGTCTTTTAGTGCTAATTTTCTAACTGCAAAAAGTTTTCTTTTTATGTTTATGTTTATGCAGGCAAACAGGAAATAAGAATGCGAAGATCCGGTCTACTCACGACACGCTATAACAGGTACGAACCTGGGTGTTTTTCCCCGCGACAACGGCTAACTAGAGCCGAGTTCCGAGTCTCAGAGACGAGTCTCCTCTAGTTGAGCCGACCCCCTCAGGTTCAAGTGATCTAGAGGCTCTAGACGGGGAGGAGACTCCCCCCGTGGGGAGATGGAATACCTCTGGAGGCACTCGCCAATTCTCGGCTTGAGATCACCTTAGGATCTCGCCGTCCCCAAACCCGGTGACGCTGTAAAGGTCATCTGCGACCAACAGCATACACACTCAAAAAAAACTTACAACACCAGTGGTAGTGCGTTGCCATCTCTCAAGGAAAAGGTCTCAGATTACAGAACTAAAGACAGATGGAGCACACGGTAAGCAGACTGCGTGCCAACAAAGCAAATATCAAGTCAATACCGAATATCAACTCACGTCAGTGCACTACAACACAACGTGCTGTGAATACGTACTGTGAATCATTATCATCATCAGCCTATTAATTTCCCCACTGCTGGGGTACAGGCCTTCCCTATGGATGGAATGGGGAGATTGGGCCATGACCCACCACGCGGGCCCAGTGCGGATTGGTGGGTGCTAACGACTGCAGATACAGCCAGGACCAACGGCTTAACGTGCCTTTCGAAGCACGGAGGTGCTCAAGATAGTAATTTTTGGTCACCCATCCAATGACCGACCACTGCGAAAGTTGCTTAAGTTCAACGATCGCAGCCGAACACGCTAACCACTTGCGTTATCGAGCTCCTCGTACTGTGAATATTAAGTTTTTATCAAAACTGTGCTTTGTTCAAACACTGTAAAATCACAGTACACAAATACAGAAAAAGTCTTGTCCTTTGACCTGATATTACAAGATTGATATAAGCTTTGGTGGCACGCAATCTGTGTACCGTGCGCTCGATCTGCCTTTTGTTTTTTAATCTGAGGAAAAGGTTTACCCGCCTTTGAAGACCGCCAAATCAAAACTAAGAAGGAAAAACCGCTGAGGAAGTTCATTCCAGATCTTCCTGCTGGTACGCAACAAAAAGGGACTCGCGTATGGTGCTGGAACGCCAAGCATCCAGATTTTAAGGAAGTTAGCTTAATTTATCATGAATATTTTATGCATACCTAAATGAATTTTAAGTAAAACTTAAGCTCTATGTAAGTATTAGTTTAATATATCAATTTTAGGTACTGCATTTTTATATCTAAAGAAATTATTAAACTTGTGTCGTGTACTTGGCTGGAATCGAACCAACTATTCGTGTAAATGCTCTCACAAATATGCTATCCAATCTTTTTCTAGAATTTTTCAATATGAATTTTTACTGGTACCTAAATATTTTCTTTAATAGATCAATATCCGATTTATGAAGCGTGCCATAAATTTTCGTTTTCAACAGGTTTTTTTTAAAATTAATTGTACCTTATTAATAAATCATGATCATCAGTTTACCTTAGAGTGCAGCATCTTCTTAATCGGTAAAATCTGCAATGAAAAAAAATATTATGTGAGATAAATAGCAAATGCTTTACTTTTTATTTAATAATAATGCATTTTTATCCATTTATTGAGTCATATTTATAAATCTTACATTTACTTACTATATACTATTTATTACTTACGAGCTAGTAGTGTCCTCGTATTATAATTAGTACTTAGTGAAATTTCTCAACATAAGCTCTTCTTATACTTTTAATAGACCCCTTTATCTCTTTACCAAAATTCATTAATATAGGTCCACCAGTTTAACATGAAGACGCAACAGACAAACCGACCTTATAACACTTTAACATCATCCTAGAACGGGTTTAGGAAAGTATAACTTAGTACATTTTTGTTTTAAGCATTGAACTGTTAGATTTGTATATATTACTGAAAAAAAAATGAGTCGATCCAGGGGGCCAGTCGCCTAACGGAAATGCTTTGGAAAACGCTATCGCTTTCGATTTTATTTTGTTATTTCTAGCCGCCTGAGGTTTTCAAATGCCTCGCGCTCTTTTTTTTCTTTTGCATTTATAATAACAATATTAAATAAAAGTGAGAGGTATTTGAAAACCTACAGCGGTCAGAAATAACAAAATAAAATCGAAAGCGTTAGCGTTTTCTAAAGCATTTCCTTTAGGCGAATGGCCCCCTGATTTGCTATCCCATCTGAAACCTGACAGCCAATCGCCTCACAGGATTGCTATCGCTTACCTTTTCTTTATTATTGTTATTACCAATGCAAAAGAAAAAAAAGTGCGAGGCATTTGAAAATCTTTGGCGGTCAGAAATAACAAATTGAAATCATAAGCGAGAGAGATAGGCATATCAATCCCGTTAGGCGTTTTGGGCTCCGGACCGACAATTTTTTTTCTAGTAAAATTTTCTTCAAACAATTTTTTTTCATAATTCTCAAATTTCATGTTATTTTTCTACCAGAAGGAGCGAAGTCGATAACATTTTGTGAAGAGGTATAAAGCGAGATTTATTTAATTTTCATATTGTAGTATTAATTTCATTATACAGTAAAGTAAAATATAAGAATTAAGTATATAATTTTGTCCAGTAGCCCAAGCATGAAATTCGATGATGATTTCTATGGGAACTAAGCAGCGGACGTAAGAACAAACTAACTTTTTCCATACAAATTTTAACATGACGAAATAAATATTTTCTCGCTAGTTGATCGTGCTTGGGGTATCTATACCTTACGCCTTACGCGCGCCGCCTCTGTTAGCGAAATATCAAAGAAGTCAAATACTTAGAAACATTATGTTGATTTCAATATAATTCCAGTAAGTGAACATTTATCAATTTATTTAATTGGCTCATTGTATTTTTATCGTTGCCTTTTTATGTCATTTATTTTTATTATTTAGATAAAACATAATAAGTATTATTCATAATAATTCCTAACTATTTTTATTAGACGAACGCACGAAATAAATCTAGGAATTCTTCTTGTGTCCAGCAGGACTATTCTCTAAGAACAAACCCAATTTTCACCCCAGAATCCGCTGTGCGTTATAATATTAGATTCATCAATCATCAACAGCCTATCCTAGTCCACTGCTGAACATAGGCCTCTCCAATTGCACGCCACTCAGAAAATTAAATTATAATTAATTATTATTATTATAATTTCAAATCTTATCATTTAAATTTCTATTTTAATTTCCAATACTTTGGTCAGCGGATCAGCCTTGCTCTCCAATGAGGATATGTTACCAGCTTATTGGGCACAATTCCTGACAACGGCAATGGGGTTGATATATTTTTTATTTTATAAATTTGTATTTATTCATGTAGATAAGTTTTAAGATAACTCTATTTTTAAGTTTAAAGGCATTAAGAAGTTTTAAGCTTTCGTAATTTCAATATTTATTTGTAAATAACCAAATAAAAAGTTTGTTCTTAGAAGGAATAAAAAATCTCTCATCGTTACTCAGTACTAATATATATTTAGAGATTTATTATTTATAAATATAGAAAAAGTGACTGAACAAATTAGACCTGTTAGACTCTGTGCGGAAAGAGAATGGACGTGGCGAAAAACGGAACTAGCATTAAGATTTTTATATGGCAATCCAACCCATCTGGCAAACGTCAAAGTTTTGATATGGATTTGTTTGTTGTTGTGATTTCTTGCGGTTTTTTGTATTTAATCATGTCTAAAAGGGGTAGAACCTTATAAATACAGTAGAAAAGCACTTTTTAATTCACACCGAACTCACTCATTAACGTCTGTTTTGTAATCGTGTGTCACTCAACACAATTAGTACTTCGTGAAGTACAGTCACCAGAATGGGTATTCGATATATTATTTTAGTTATTGTAATATAGCAAAACTTAATCAGTTATGGTATATTCAAAAGAATTAAATTTGGTATATTTATTTTTAGTCAGTGACTTGATGCCACGTTAATCTACTATATTTATTAAAAAGTTATATGATAAAATAATTATACAGATTTTATAATCACTGACCCGATTATAAAAAAATCTATTATTCCGTCGGTATATTGTCAAATGTATATCTATGTAATAAAAATAGATACACGTATTTATACGTCTTGTTTGTTTGTTTGTTGTTTGTTAATGGAAAATGTTATCTGAGCGTATCGCTTGCAACCTGCAACATATCCCGAAAATTTAAAAACAAAACTTCAATTCGTTATTCAACCTTTTTAACTCTTACTCTTTTCAGAAAAAGTTAAAAGTTCCATCTGTTTCTTAATTGCATTAAAGATGTATCATACTATCATAATATATATCCACTAATGATGCATGTTTCTATACTTAGTAAAAAATGTATTAAATAAAAAATTACATCTTCATCATAGACTGCGGATTGCTAGGTGTTAATGACTGCTGATTGGTGTTGTTGAATAACCTAATAAAAAAATTAACACTTACATTCGATAAATATTTTTAACCATATCAAATAAATATCATCAAATGTTTTAATTAAAATATCATCAATTTAATTCATCATCATTCAATTCATGTAGATATAACGCGAGAATAATATTAATTAGTATAGATAAATATAACCGACTGATAAAATTATCGTTATTTATAATTGCAATAACAGATCGAATAACTAAATTTTTTTCAATAAATTAATTTGTGAAAAATATTCACATTGGTATTTTAATCAAAATATTAACTGATATTTTCAACCATTAACATTATCTGATTTTTTTTTTCAACTATTAACTTGAAATTAATATTATTTTTCAAACATTAACACCACTTCAGCAGATGCAGCCGGGACCATCGGCTTAACGTGCCTTCCGAAGCACGAAGGAGCTCGAGATAATAAGTTTTTGATCACCCATCCAATGACCGACCATTGCGAAAGTTGCTTAACTTCTACGATCGCAGGTGCGCTACGAATGCGCTAAGCAGATGCGACACCGAGGTCCTCAAAAAAATTACATATTAGATTAAATTAGTTATGAGGTAACTTTTTGTTGAATCTAATTTATGCATTTTTAACAAATAACGAGGCTTAACGTAAACGTTAGGTGTTAATGATACGATCAGCGCTTTCCACGCGTGGGAAGTTAACGGACATTGTTATCAATCAGATTGTGGGTCAGATATACATTTTCCGTGTTAGATTACTTACAGTCGAATAGATTCCGCGGTTGGTATGAGAACCAAAGAGGTCCACAGTGAACGAACAGGTACCTATTATAAATCACTGACATTCTAAGTTCTAACTGATGTACGTAACTTTAAGTTTGGCTGCATTAGTGAGTCAAACTCTGATATAAAAAAAAGTGGAAAGTAACAAATTTTCAATTTTAAGTTACCTGAGAAACTTCACTAACCAATTCAGCCATGGATATAGGATAAATTTCCGCAAAAAAATCTTTATTTTTTTTCGTTAAGTGTCTCCACCTTACATCAATTGTGCAATAATGAAACCTTAACAATTTCAGTAGTCATAAATTGATTCAAATAAAACTATTTCAAGGATTTACGAATTTAAAAGGATAATAATTCCATAAAATGTTTGTTAGATACAAATGTGCACCGTTTAGATCCGATTTTTGTAAAAGTTATAAATAAATATTTTTCTTTGAGGGTGTAGTGCTGTTACTGTTTATAACCTTTCGCAGTATTTTTATTTACTGGATTTTTAGTTTCTCATTTAACCCAAAATTCACTGTTTACCTATAATGAGAAAATTCATTCTTGTAACATAACATGCTTTTTTTTTACTAAAGTCGCCAATACATTTTTTTTTTACTTAATTCTTAAAACATGTGTTACCTATAGTATGTCATATTATTTGGTTTATACAAACACATTTAATTAAATAGAAGCTTTTTCAAAGAACGTTATAATTATTGTAAGTAATTAAATAAATTGTCATTCATGTTTCAGAAAAATTCAAATGGACTTATAAAAATAACACAAACCTTCTTTTTTTTTAAATATTGTCCACTCGAAAAGTCCAATTACTAAAAAAACTAAAGTACTAAGTATCACAAACGAAACTTTTTCGAAACTTTTCCCGCGCAAAAGTCCGTCCGACCAAACAATCACACGAAACGCACTGCTCTAGATATTCTAACGCACTGTGATACATTTTGACGGAATGATCTTTATATACAGCAATCACATCGAGGGCGCATCTTCGCACTGGCCATTGTGTTTTACTTTTTTTTTACCTGGTATACTCCATACTCTATGGTTACTGACCTCGCGAATTTTTCTTTCGAAATATTCGAATAAACGTGAGCACTCGAATAATAAATCACGCCAATGAGATGAAATGAGAGCAATTTATGCCTCGTTTCCATGTAATAAAATTATTTTTATCGTTTAGTTTTCGCAATTATTATTTAATTCCTATAATGCTTAACTTTTCGATAGTTATCTCCCATGCTAGTAAAACTTTAAGAGAGGTTTAGCTAGGATTAACAGGTAGGTAGTTCTTGTATCTTGGACATGTTTTAACTGAAGATTTGAAAGATGATCTCGATATTGAAAGAGAAAAAAAGGGCATTGTCGATACCATTAATGTAAAGTTGACACTATTTAAAGCATATTGCCAAAGTTTTTATCTTTGTTCTCTATGAACAACCTTCACAAAAAAGTCTTACAGTGCCTTTAGGATACTATGTATATAATAATATGTTTAGTATATTGTTGCGCCTCCCGTGATACTGTAGTACTTGGGTGATGTTCATGGATGCCTACTAGGATGACTTCTATGCATTAATTCGAAAGAAATTCGCATCTTTAATGCATAAAATAAGAGAAAGTAGTAACAAAATTGGAAGTATGATTGCTGGGCGACTGGACACTGCTTTTATAACGATTATCTCGAGTAAAACGAAATAGTAATATTTAATAATTAAATGTTAATTCGGAATAAATAATAAAAATAATGTTTTTTACACTCACCTATAAGGCTTGTGTTATGGGATACAAGGGTAACGGATAGAATACATATATTGTACCTATATAAGTATATTTATATAGAAATACATATTAAACATCCATGACTGAAGTACAAATGCTCGTGTTCATCACACAAACATCTGCGCCCACCGGGATTCGAACCTGGGACCTCTCGACTCGGCGACGCCATGAAACCCGGCGAACAAATCACTCGGCTACGGAGGTCGTCAATTTAAAATAATTTGAATTTGTCTTGAATATTTATTTAATTTTTAATGGTAGTGTTTAATTAGATTTTGGATTTGTTTTCATTTTACTAACATAGATTTTAAGAACTATTGTTACTTACAACATGGACTGGTACTGCCTGAAAATAAATGAATTTTTATTTTATACTTATTTTAACGGATTTCCCTCGCGAATTGGAGCGCCCGTCTGGGAAAGCAACCACCACCTTACAGCCGGACCACAGAAAAATAACACTACCTTTTGGTGGTGTTGTGCTTCTATCGGTGAGTAAGGTTCCAGTTCCTTCGCTCAACCATTTTTTAGGGAACTTAACGACTTAGTACATAACGCAGTACCGGTAGGGTGTTAACTTTTCTATCCAAGTTCAACGAACCGACAAGGAAAAGTTAGATAATGTCGCGAAACGGGTTTGGTACGCATTTGCCGTGCAATCGTTTTCGAGAACGAAGGTCAGTGTCTCAAATACGACTGGTGATTGTCAGTTTATGAAAACTTGATCTTGGAAAAAGAGTGCTTCGTCTTACCTCGCAGGGATATGTGTTAAATTATGTTGTACTTTATCTTAAACTGCTTTACTGAAAAGGAAATTCACAGAAATGTCATCTTAAAAGTTTTGTAAACAAAATTGTTGTAAGACAAAGTATTTTTTCAACTGATGCTTGGCTCCGTTAATGATAAAGTTAGAAAAACAAAGTACACGGGCATTTTATTGTTATGTGAAGAATTTAAAATGACATATATCTGGAAATATTAATTCTTATGATACTTAAAAATAAATATATATTTAATGAATAAATATCAGCGTTATACTTACAAGAAACGAAACGAATTACGAAAATAAAAACTGTGTCTAAGTAGATTTTTAGCTGTCTTAACTTAAACACCTTTTGAAGTAAAACTTCATAGAAAATTTCATAGAATACATGGAAATTCACCCGATTTTACACGTGGCAGTCGCTTTTATTTACATTTATCGTAAGGGGGGAATCATTCAGAAGTAAGTATGGATGATTAGTTCGTTATTGCTAAAGGTGAGATAATAAAGTATGATATCATGATGCTATTATAAATTATTATCTTACTTTTTCTGCTATAGTAATTATGTCACACCAACAAATTATAAATAAATATAACCGCCAATTGGTTAGGTTAGGACTTCCTCCTCTTCTTTTTTGAAAGCGATTTAAAAGTAACTTGAAATATTTGTTTCTTAGGTTTTCACGCACACCACTCATTAAATAAAACAAGTTTCAAGGGTATAGATGCGCTGATTTATTTGTTTCTTGACTTTCGCAGCCTGAATAGGATGCGCATTATATAATTCTGACGACGCAGCCTGACAAGGATGCAAATTATATAATTCTGACGACGCAGCCTGAAAAGGATGCGAATTATATCATTCTGACGACGCAGTCTGAAAAGGATACGAATTACATCATTCTGACGACGCAGCCTGAAAAGGATGCGAATTATATCATTCTGACGACGCAGCCTGCAAAAGGATGCGAATTATATAATTCTGACGACGCAGCCTAAAAAAGGATGCGAATTATATAATTCTGACGACGCAGCCTGAAAAGGATGGGAATTATATAATTTTGACGACGCAGCCTGAAAAGGATGCGAATTATATAATTCTGACGACGCAGCCTGAGAAGGATGCGAATTATATAATTCTGACGACGCAGCCTGAAAAGAATGCGAATTATATAATTCTGACGACGCAGCCTGAAAAGGATGCGAATTATGTAATTCTGACGACGCAGTCTGAAAAGGATGCGAATTATATAATTGTGACAAGCGACGCTGCCTGAAAAGGATACGAAACGTCAAGCAAATAAATCCGCACATCTATACCGTTGAAACTTGTTTTATTTCAGTAACTTAAAAAATATTCTTTAAGTTATTTTTGATAAATAAATGAAAAAGATTAAATATTGTATTATAATTTTTTGTATCGTATACCGATTATGGGTAAAAATATACCGATTTTACATCCAATAACATTCAACAGTTTCAATTAGTGCTAAACAAGTCTTCTCGTTTCTAGTTTGACTAGCACAAACCTGTACCTACTATGTTCAAATACAAGAGTACGGAAGAGGCAATGGCCAAGTCGCGCATTAAATACTACTTTTCTACAAATATATTTACCAACCACTAATAAGATATTTATCATCACCAGCCTATTTATGTCCGCAATGCTGGGGCACAGGCCTCCACCACCTCAGCCTAAGGGTGGAGTACAGACATTGGCCCGTGACCCACCACTCGGACCCAGTGCGGATTGCTGGGTGCTAACGGCTGTAGATGCAGCCGGGACCAATGGTTAAACGTGCTTTCCGAAGCACGGAAGAGCTCGAAGTAATAAGTTTTTGGTCACCCATCCAATGAATGACCATTGTGAAAGTTGCTTAACTTCCACGATTGCAGGCCGAACGTGCTAACCACCTGTACCCTCGCTCATCGATAAATAACATATTAGTAAAATCATACATTTAATGATACTCTCTTCGCTATCACTAACGAACGACGACGAACTAAAGAACATTTTACTAGAATAAAATCCACTCAGTCTAGACATCAGACAGGATTCGAAGCTTACAAGTAGAAATTAGTTCATTGTGTCTTGAAGCAAACACATAATATTTCAATATTGTTCTTTCTTAAACTTAAATACCTAAGTGCACTAGTATACTTATAAAAGTACAGGATTAGAAAACTTGGCCAATTTTTACATAATGTCAATGATGTTTTTTTGCGATTTTATCTCTTTTCCGGAAAAAGGCGTTGAACTCACATCATAATAATGTGAAAACGGCAGGCAAATAAATTTTTGCCAAGGAATAGCGGCCTCACGTAATTTTTAAGGGTCATCTTATCAGAAACAATAAAACATGCAGAACCTTCATAACAGCTAGAGGAAAACAGACAAATTTTGCAAAATCTTGTTTACATCCCTGTCTTTTGAGGGTTCTGTACCCAAAAGGTAAAAATGAAACCCCATGTTGTTGTCATTCGGTCGTCTGTCTGTATGTCACGGGGATCTAGATCGTAAACGGAATGAGTTACATAACTGAAATTTTAATGTTTTATGTAAAATGCTTGTCCAAAGCCGAATATTTAGTAAAACAAATCAATTTAATTATTTTTCATTCATGAAAAGGATACGCATTTTTTTTTTAATTTTTTCTCCAGCATGTGACACGTTATTTTCTAGAGCTCGTCGGTTAGAGAATGCATACATATTTTTTCTTGTTTTTTTATTTTCAATAACAAAGCAATGAGGGGCCGTTAACGTTGACATTTTAGACCATTTTTGTTACGGGGACTATATCAAAATCGAAACTTGTTAGGAACGTGAAACTGCGGTATAAGATGTCCCATTTGCTGTATTTAAACAAGAAATACTGAAAACGCCGCTTTATAATGTACTTTGTGTGTGGTGACGAAAACAAACGAATGATTTTCCTTTCGCGGTTTATTGTACGGAACCCGTGCGCGAGTATGACTCCTTCTTGTCCGGGTTTTCATCTATAAAGACGGGGATAACTGTTGATACTAATGTTGTTGATGATTGGAAAGTTCGCAGCTAGAATATTCTAAGCGTAGGTAGTTATTTTCCAGTTTAGCGTCTGGATTGCCGTTCGTAAGTATTTTAAACACAAACCAATTAGCCTAGCCCCAAAGTAAGCACTATAAGGCTTGTGTTATGGGATACTAGGGTATCGGATAGAATACATGTACTGTACATATATAAGTATATTTTTATAGAAATACATATTAAACATCCATGACTGGAGTACAAATGCTCGTATTCATCATACAAACATCTGCCCCCACCGGGATTTCGGGACCATGAAACCACGGAGGTCGTCTCTTTGGGCACATTGGGCATTTTTAAGATGAGATTTTCCCGGGTTGCC